AGTTGGCACAGGGACCTGGACCCCCCCTTTAATCGCGGTTGCAAAAAGGTGCGTTCAAAAAAAAAACGGAAGAATATTTATTCTATAAAATGTTGTACGCTTGTTCCGGTTTCGGATTTGCACACGACGACTGCCGATACGAAATCACGAAAAATTCCAGGATTTTGAGGTCGTTGGTGAGCCTGCGGCTGTCTGCCTTCAAATTTAGAGGCGAGTGCTTAGAACGAAATCCAGAAATTCTTGAAATTTTGAGGATTTTGTGCTGGAAACATTGTGAGGCGCGAAACCCACAAAATCCCGGAAATTTCGGGAATCCCCGACTCCCCGGGATTTTGGGAGCTCTCTAAATTCCTGGGAATTTCAATTTTTCGTGCCACTACATATTCGAACGTCCTTGCTCTTCATTTTAACCTTCACTTCATAACGCCGCTCAATAAAATATTGGGGATTCAATACTATAGCGAATAATTAAATATTTTGTGTATGTCCCGCACTCTATCAAGGTAGTATATTCAAGATTATCTATGTCTGTCGTGGAATCGCATGAGCCGACCAAATATCGCAGCTACAGACCATAACGTGGAAACGCAAATTGTTGTCGAAGCCGTGCGTACCGTGTAGAGCGTCGCGGAGTGCCAGGTACGTCGTGGGCGTGGAGTGGCGGCCGCAAGCAGGTCGGAGGGAGTGTCGCGGAATAGGGCGAGGGCATCTACGGGGAGTGTTATGCGAGTTTGAGGGGAGTGTCGTGGAGTGGTTAAGGAGGTGCGAGTCGTAGTGAGTGTCGCGGAGTAGTGGGCGAGAGTTTACATATCGCGGAGTGCCGTGGATCGAGGGCGTGGAGCGAGGGCGCAAATCGGAGGGAGTATCGTAGAGTCGACCGAAGGTATCTTGGTGGTGGGGAATATTGTGCGAATTTGGGAGTGTGGTCGCGGAATGGTTGGGGGCGCGAATCATAGCGAGTGTCGTGGAGTAATGGGCGAGGGTGGCGGACGAGAACGGGTCGAAAAGAGTGTCGCGCAGTGGGGCGAGGGCATATATGTGTCGTGCGAGTTTGCAGGGAGTGTTGTAGAGCGCGGGATTGTAAGTCGTGGGGAGTGTCGTAGAATGGTGGGCGATATAGGCGAGAGTCGGCGAAGGCAAAAGATCGGGAGTGGCAAGGAAGCGCGAAGATTAGTACAAAGTTCGTGGGGAATATATAGAGAGTAAAAAGGCGAAGAATATACGCAATACCGGTATATAAATAATGAGAAATAAGATAGAATAGAGAATCTTAGAAGATATAGAAAATCGTGAGACGAAAAGAAGACAAAAAGATAATAATAAAATAAAATCTTATTATTTTCTCTTATGATTCATAATAAATTCTTCAAGATAATCTCTATCTTATATATATATTCTTTTTTAAAAAAACAAAATCTAATAGAATATTTTTCGAATATTTCTGAAAATATCCAATAAGTACTATTTTATTATTATCTTGTTTATTTGCTTATAATTAGTATTGAATTAAATATTATTTGTCTTTTGGAGGTATTAACAAATTTTATCGATAACCAAATTATAATTTGCAAGGAACAGATAAAAAGGCACCAAATAGGATCAATCAAAATCCGTATATGCCGAGCCACGCCAAAACGCAGAAAGTGCATGACAGCCGTCAGGAAAAGATCAGATGGATACTGTCTGCGCCGAACCTATTTTGTCCACAGCAGAATCGCACATAGAGTCGTCATGAATAATCGATCGGTCAATTACCTCTTGCCGCTTGCCTGCGAGATGTCTCCCATGTTCAAGGCTTTTGGCGTTTAGGAGTTAGGAGTATGCCTTTGCTGGATTTAGGTAGCTCCAGGGCCTGGGTTTCTAGGAATTTGGAATACTTCTCTTAGGCATGGGAGCTCATCTCACCTCACAAGCTGCCCGAGGAGCTGCCAGCAAAGCAGCACGAGGGTACTGTCGCATGTCGCCAGCGCTTGATGCACGGAAAAACGATCTCGTGCTGGATGCCGAGAATACATGTACAAACAATCAGGAAAAGCCCGCAGGAAGAATTTAGTCAGACGTCGAGCTGCCTTCCCGTGCCTGTCATCTTAGGTTCGAAGTTTCCGGTTTCGGAGAATCACCAGCCTTGCAACAGTTACGCTGCTGTTGCGTGCAGAATCCCAACCTTCTTCTGAAGGGCTGCAAGCTCGATCATCCAGAGCCTGTCACACACTGACACCGCTGCAAAACACCCAAGTTCAGTTCTCTAGGAAATGGCCAAAAAAAGGACCTAGGATGCTTCTGCCTGACATCCCTTCGACCCTTATCCGAAACCCTTATACCTCGAATACTCCAAACTCAAGCAAGCGACGACAGGATGTCTTCAGTAGGAGCTGCCTTTGTTGCAACATCAGGCATACCAAGCGAATGAAGGGACATAGACATCTGGAGAATCTGAGGCGAATGAGGCGGTTGCGAACTCCGTTGCTGGTGCAGGAATTCCTTCTCGGAAGGAAGGCTGGATGCGAAAGCGATGCTGCTTGCCTCAGAGGTGGGGAAGGTATGCTTTCAGGTACAGCGGGGCGCGTTGCTTTTGAGAGCCCGGCACGACGATTTGTCATCGTCCGGAAGCTGCTCAACATACATTTTTGGCACATCTTCGCTGTCAAGGAATTTTAGCGCCTGATTCCTTAGATGAACAGCTCAGGATGTGGAGTGGAGGGTTCTGGCAGAAGCTCGCTGCCGACAGGCGCAAACTCCGAAGCCAAACACTTGCAGCCATGTCACTCAGTAACGCTGTGGTAACAGATCCCACCTGTCAACTTGCGAGCGTGAACGTTGCAAAGCCAGATGCGATACAACCAGAATTCGAAGGTTGCAGGTTCTGCGAAACTGCCACCATACACCCTGCATGCAGTATCTTCGCGACCCGACAGACCAGGCTCCTGCAAGACTTTTCTCGTGGCTGCTATTACTGCTGTTGCGGTAGTTTGCTTGAAGCTGATCACTCCAAATCCTTGGTAGACTCCGTGGCTGTGGGTCTGCATGGGGGCTCAATGCTATGATGAATGGCATGCTCATGGTTGCTGCTGCTGCCTGTCCTCAATCAGAAACGCACCTTCTATGATGCCCGAACAGCGAAATAGAGCACCTCGACGACCGTAGCCGTAACGACCAGCCGATCAAAATAACCACGACCAGCACGACCACCAGGACCGCCAGGACCAGCACCACAACCAGGACGACGAGGACGACCAGTTAGACTACGACGAACGGAGACCAGCAGGAGACCACCAACAGATCACCGGGAGAATGCCAAGAGATTCCAGGAGACGACGAGGACCAGCAGCCAGGAGACAACGAGGAGTCCACAGGGAGACCACCAAGATACCGCCAGGAAACGACCAGGACACCACCAGTGCACGGCCAACATACCTTACCCTTACCGACGGGATGCAAGCGACAAGGCTTCCCCCAAATACTGACGGGATTCATGAGCACGGCCAACATGTTGCCAAGCACTAGCGGAAGTCCGCAGGAAGCGCAGACCGCTTTTTTCTCAAGTACAGGCGGAATTCAAGAGGATTCCGGGGCATGGTCAAAATACTCTCCCCGAAGTAATGGCATGATTCAGGGGGAAGAGCAAAACTACTTTCGCCCGAGTATGGGTGCGATTTTTCAGAGTTTTGGAAGGCGAAAGATGGCAAAATGTGATGGATGTTACCATGGGTCGGGCCCTCGGGAGTCGCCTTCCAGCGGAGACTGTGCAAACTATAGAACGTTATACCGCAGACTATGCACTGTGCCACAGCAGGAGCCGCGTCCCGGAAGACCGTTCTCCGCAAACACGCCACGCGGCCACACCAATCAATTCTTTTTTGTCCTGAATGTCAGAACCCCATCGTGTGCACCATATGCCTGGAAAAAACTTTAAAAAAAACACGACAAAGCAAGTCATTCTCCCGAACAAACCCTACACAACCATCTTGCAAAACCCATCGCCCGACAAACGCAACAGTGACTCTATAAAGCAGACAGCTCGACTAGCATATCATCGCATGCAACCCAATGCGTTTGCGATCGTTTACGCGTCGATTTCCCTTAACTTGCCCCCGCCACGACATGCAGGGCCAGGCCTCGTGCGGTATTCTCCCTTCCAAAGCTTTACAGGACTGCCCCGACTCACATGGACCCAGCTGCCGTGGAATGACTCCCTAGCCTGCCACAAGCCAGGAATCGACATCAGTAGAGTCATAAATTGTGCGCGATCGCCCTCCCCACTCTCCCAGCCACACCCGTGAATTCTGAGATGAGGCGGTTCAGGAAGCCGATATCTTACACAAGACGCAAGGCTTGCGAAGGCTTGCGAAGGCTTGCACATGCTTTCGACTGCTTGGGAAGTGCCTGCGAACGCGGGTGCATCGATTTCCGGCCAACTCCCTGACCACTGACCTCCACACCTCTGAACAAAAATCGAGAAAGGCATAGAAAATCAAGCCCCCAAGGCCCAAAACTTAAACCTGAACCCTGGCCGGGCCTGAGTTGCTTACCCAATACATTCGCGGCACCCAAGACTCCTGGCTCGATTCTTGGTGCGTTTTCTTTCGAAGTCACCGAATTCCCAGGTTTAGGGTTTAGGGTTCAGGGTTTAGGGTTTGGGGAAGGTTCAGGGTCGAGGGCTGACATCTCGAAGTCGGGAAATCACGATCACCATCATCCTCCTTGTTGCTGTCACAAGCTTTTCTTCGCAGTGGTAGCATTTGCGGTGCACATCAGTGTACCACTGCTGCCGTTCTCATCCGTCTTCTAATCATTGCCACGAGTGAGTACAAGCAGGTATTCGCTGCCGCCGCAGCAGCCTTTGCACTCATCTGAACAGAAAAGGTGCCCGCGTGCTTGCTGGAATGACTCTGAACAAGTCTTTGATTTGCATCCTTGATCGACCCTCATAAATAATGGCTCAACTACCTAACGTGAGCCTGCAACAGCGATTATTTTAGAGGTGCCCTCCTTGAAAACCCCGCCGCACCTGGCCCAATGACCCTGTATCAAGCCAGCACAAGCCATATGGGTAGTTCTCTCGTTTAGGGGGTCCCATTTTAGGGTCCCTTTTTTCAGGGTGCCGTACTATATTGGGGACCTAAAAAGGGGCCCGTATTTTGAGAGGTACCCATATCCTGAAATCCAAACACCATAGCCAACACCACCCACCCAAAGCCCTGAACCTTCAAGCACCTCTTCAAACTCACTTTTTCCAGCCCTACTGCTTGATACTTAGAATAGGGTTTTTGGCTCCTTGACAGTATACTTATAATAAGGAGCCCAAAACAATATCATTGGTATTTATTTAGGCTTCTATATTCGATGGGGTTCGGGCTGAAGGCCGGCTGTCCCCCAAAACACCCTGGAGCCCTTAGCTCCTCCTTGGTGCGGTCGTGATCCGCGAGGAGCTTGTAGAGCCTTCGACGCTAGCTTATGGCTGACTTCCATGACATGTAAAACAAGCTCTTTCGAGGAAGAATGAAAACGAAAACAAGAACAGCACCGGAAAAAAAACAATAAAATTTGCAGAAATGAGATGTTCCGAAAGTGGTAAGTGCATCGTTGATGTCTTTAACCGTTGCCTTTTGAAGCAAGAGCGGTCAGGGATTCGATCAGTAGTGGCAGAAACGGCGGCAACCGCTGCAACCGGTGCCTATGTTGTCGGCATGATGACCAACGACAGAAATGTCAACATCGTCAGCATTTCTTCATGATGACCAGCACCATCGTCATCAACAGCGGCAACACTAACCGTCATCTGCACCTTCATTTTCACCATCACTAGCTTTCTCGCGGTGACTGTCTTGAACCATGATCATCATTCTCTGATTCCAGGCATCCAAGCCGATCTGCCAACGACCCTAATCTCGAACCCCACAACCTCGAAAGTGCACAGGAGTCCTGGTCTGGAAAACCGGAGCGTTGGCGTCCTGAAGGTGGGGTTGTTCCTGCGCCTGTTGCCTTCTTGGTGCTGCTAGATCACAGCCGGTTGCTATCGTCAGCACGAAGCTACACTTCTTATCCGTAGCATGCTTACCATATCTCGGGCGCAGCTACCGTTGATAAGGCTCCTGCTTTCGTTGTCTCACAAGGACGGCACCCACCGTCCTTTTAGTATCTTCGTAGTCTTGTACCTATCATTACGAAGATCAGCGCCAGCTTTGCTATCCCCCCTAAACCCTAAACCCTAAATCCTAAAACCCTAAATCCTAAAACGCTAAACCCTAAACCCTAAAACCCTAAACCCTAAACCCTAAACCTCAAATCCTAAACCCTCAACCATAAGCCCTAAACCCCAAACCCTCTACCCTAAAACCTAAACCCAGTTTTTGAGAACCCAAGCCTTGAAGGGATCGATCTTCTCCCGGCGCGAGCGGCTTTGGTATTTCTGCAGCTCCTGACTTGTGTCCGCTCATCGAAGTCCCAGCATGACATCCCAGGCAGATCATCAACACCCAAAAGCACGGCAGCACAAATGAGAATAACTTGGATGTCGTTGCAAGTCCTGCAGATGCTATCACCTCAACCAGCAGAAGCCAAAGCCACGAAAATGGACTGCGCTACGAGACACCTGCTCGCCACGTGTCCAAAATCTGAATGGTTCTTTCTTTCGACAGAACAGGACTTCATGGACATCACCGTCAATGCAACCGACACAGTTACCATGCAACGATGGGCACATGCGACAGCCAGCCAAAACCTGCAACCCCCAAAACCGAGCCAAAGCAAAGCAAAGAAGCCCTGACCGGCCTTGGCCAAGGCCGCCTGGCTGTCCACGTCGTTGCCGCGGTCCGGCGGAGACACCAGCTGCGTGCGATCCATCTTCGGCTCCTGCTTTCCGAGACTGAAACGGCAAACAGGGCTTTTCGGGCACATCATACCATAGCTACAATAGGGAACCCTCAGGAATAGTTTTCGAGTAGAAGCCATAAAGTTGGAACATTATAATCCTCATGGCCTTACGGTAAAGCACAGGGGATCCTAGCACAAATCATCCTAAACCCAGGTTCCACTTTCTGGGGATCGCTGTAATTACCTGAACCCGAAGTTCCCAAGCTCTACCATCATTGCTCGGATTTGTACAGGTCTTCTCACGCCCTAATCCCGAACTCCTGAACCTCGAAGTCGGTTCAGGATTTCAGGTCGACCTGTGTAGCTTTACAGAAAAGCCAAATGGGTAGTTTTCTAAATTAGGGTCCCTTTCGGGGTCCTTTTTATAAGGGTGCCGTGCTATATTGGGGAGCTAAGGGGGGACCCTAATTTAGAGAACTAGTCAAATCATACACAGGGCTCACTGATGCCCTCGTTCTGGTCTGAAGTCCCCAAGGTCTTTCTGAAAATCATCGTAGAGGCCCCAAATAAATCCAGCACTGCACACCAAAAAACCAGTCTAACTACGCGTTTAGTAGAGCATCTCCCGGCTGCAAGCAACATTCTAAGTATGAAGAGCCCTGGGGGAGCCTTTTGCTCTTCCCTCTCTCGGTGGAGGAAGGGCGACTCCTCGGGTGAACGTCTCATGATTCCAATAGACAGGGGCCTGAATAATTCGACTGGTGACTAGGGTGTTCGTGAGTACGTCATAGTGCCAGAGGTGGGATATCTTGCTGTGTATATAAGAGTCTTCACAAAGCTTCCAGGTGCTCTTAGGCTTCAGCTAGTCTAGGAAATGCCACATGCGCAGTTCCGGGAACATGTGGGAGACTCAGAATTAGCCTTCTTAGTGACGAGACAAGACAAAAACCGCAACAACTGTAGATAAGTAGTACAACGGCAATGAACGGCCGGTTGTCAGCATGAGCATGCTAGTCATGGTGCTAAGCCATCATGCTTATCCTCCTCATTCATCACCATCATCATCATCATCAAGATCACCATCATCATCAGGTCGTCATCGCCATCATCATGATCACCATCGCAGCCATCATCATCGTCAGCATCACTGTCGCACTTGCAATCATCACGGTTTTACAACGGTCATCATCATCATCATCGTCTCTCCCCTATCACCATGTGGGGTCTCCAAGGACGGGGGGCGGGGTTTGCTCAAGCTCCTATGTAGACCTAAGCGCTTTTCGACCCTGCGTACCATGGGGCCTGCAAGGCAAGCTAGACAGATCCCTTGCTTGCCATCGCCGCATAGCTACTGTGTAGTCAAGCATGCCCAGGGAAAGCAGTTCTGGATGGTTCAGCCTGTTGCATGGTCTAGCTCCCACACTCGGAAGAAGTTTCCTGCAGATCGGCAGGCAATCTACAAGGTTCGCAGCACGTTCCCGCGCATGGTAAGGGAGGCATGTTCACTAGCCGCAGAAGGTCCAAAACATCGGCGGCTTTCGGGCTACTAACTAGTTTTTACCGAAGCTGTAGGCCTGCTTTGAGTCTGGATCATCGTCGTTATCATCACTGACCCCGTCATCAATATCAGCATCAGCATCATCAGCAGCATGAAAGCCTGAATTTCACCTGAATGATCTTGGGAGCCTGATGCGAAAAGGTTTTGGGGATCTGGACAGGTAGATGCACAAACCCGACGTTATCCCCCGCCCCACCCGTACCCCGGACCACAGAACCGAAGCACACAATGTTCAGGAAACATCGCACATGCTGAGTCCGCAGGTGCACAATTTGCAGGGAAGATCGCACATACCCAGTGCTCGACAATTGCAAACTCCAGGGAAAAGACCGAAAGTCTGCAAAGACACATCACAAAGCTTAGAGGGTCAAGTATAAATATGGGTATCATCGAGTTCTCCATCGGCTTCTCTCCTGAACTGTCCATAGGTGGTCACCCTCATGTGACGCAACTCAAGCCCACAAAAGAAATCCAGCCCTAAACCTACAAATCTCCAAGCTCTAATCCTCCAAAACAAGCAGACACGAAACCCTAAACCCCTACACCCCCAGAAGGCCCGGCTGCCCAGTGGCAGAGATCATCTTCGTGGGCAGCTTTGCGTACCCCTTCAAGAACTCTTCGAAGTCGAGATGCCCTTTTGCAGAAGAGGTTGCTTGATTGAGGGTTTAGGGGTTTAGGGTTTAGGGTTTAGGGGTTTAGGATTTATGTAGGGTTTAGGGTTTAGGGTACAGAGTAGGGGTTTAGTATTTCGGCTGTGTAGGGTGTCTAGGCATGGGGCATGTAGGGTTGTAGAATTGCACGAACTCACAGGGTTTTCGGGGCGGCTTATCAGATGGATCTGATAGGGCTCACGGGGCGGAAAGGACAAAAGAGGGCACGGGCCTACAGGATTGATAGGATCTTGGGTTAAGGGCTAAGAGAACTGACGCTGTTTCTGAGGCAACGAAACCCACAGGCATTGAAACTTGATCGGCAACCCTTGCAGAAGCTTTCTGAGTAACCCTTATTAGAAAAACCGTTCGTTTGAGCATGCTTCTACGTTCAAGACTCCATCCCTAAATCGATGCTCTAGGTCTTCTAATCTAGGGGCCATAGAAATTGGAACGGGGTTTTGGGGGGTCCTTTGCGAGAATAACATGGAAAATCTAAGGAATAGTTTTGGAAAGTATTTAGGCTTCCCTAAACCCTAAACCCTAAGCCCTAAACTTTAAACCCTAAACCCTAAGCCTTAAACCCTAAACCCTAAATCCGATAGCACACCAAAACCTCAGGGGCTTCTCTGGGGCACCCCGCCATCACGATTGCTGTCCAGCTCCTGCAACAGCTGTCGCGCCAGGTCGAGCCTCTTTTGCTGTAGGGTTTAGGGATTTTGGGGTTTAGGGGTTTAGGGTTTAGGGGTTTAGGGGTTTAGGGTTTAGGGGTTTAGGGGTTAGGGGTTTAGGATTTATGTAGGGTTGAGGGTTTAGGGTACAGAGTAGGGGTTTAGAGCTTCGGGCCGAGGGTTATATTCTGGGCTCTTGGGTTTCCGTGCCTTATGTTGATACAGTTTTACTGCTGCAAACAGCTGTTACCAATGCTATCCGACTGGGTGACCTAAGTCGTCCATCACAACATGCAAAATCCTCGAGCCCAAAATCGACGACATCCCCTGCTGCCCACAACCCTAAACCCTAAAGCCTGAAACTGAAACACACTCTGTCCTGCCTGTGCTTGCCAGCCTTGTCTCCGGCCCTGTCAGCGAGGGAATTCAAGGGATTGTGGGCTCAACCACATCTTCCATACTAAACGGCTCGATTTGGATAATTGGAAAACCTTGGGTGCACAGTGAATGCAGGAGACTGATGCTCGAAGTTATTTCGGCCTACTGTCCCGGACCTCAGCGGATTGAAATCTTCAGCTTCAGCTTTCGTTTGGTAGAGAGTGACCCTACAGTTTGATCCGGGCCAATCTCAGTCTCCAGATAAAACTTCTCTATCGCCTTCGTAGCCGGGTGCTACAGCAACGAAGGCACATGGCCTTTCGATCGGCAGGGGCCCCGGGCTGTGCATGCCACGACAGGCTGGGCCGAGCGTTGGGGGCTTTACTGGGGTTCGAGGCAGAAGTGTGCCTTGAAGGTGGCAAAGTTTTCGAGCCTCTCAACAACATCGTTCGAGTTACGGTAGTTGTACATTTTTGAACCAGGAACACTTTAAGTGTGCCGCGACAGACTGCGAAATCAACAGCTGCCGGTCCGGAAAAGCGGAGCAGGAGGAGGGGCACGTTTCAATGAAGCAGGGACGGCTACACACTAACGTATGTCGCACATGCTCTATGTACATATATACACGCCCTTTGTCTGCACCGGTATAGTGTCAAACGTCATCTCATTATACTTCGCCACTTTTAACCATTGCTGCTACTATATGTTGTGAAAGAACTCGAGGATTTGCATACGCAATATACAACCGCGAAAGCAGCCCTTATAGCTGCCGTTAGAGCAAGCTCAAAGAGCCCTGAAGCTACCCTGTTCGAATCATTCGGAGTCACAGAATAAATACCATAGAATGTAAGATAATAATGAAATATGATATGATGTCACATCATATCAGATAATATACTGCCGTGTCATCTATATATATATATATGCTACCCCCGCCCCTGACGTACCTACCTGTTTGGTGTATTTATACCACCGGCGTGTGTCTGCAGAACTTCACCTGCATAGGCGCTGGTGACTTCCGTTTCGCATGTTTCCCTGTACTGCTCGCAAGGTATCATTTCTGACCCAGTCCCTGCGGCTTCACAGTCAAACAGTAATGGCGTTACATCTGCTATCGCTTCACAGTCAAAGAGTAATGGCGATACATCTGCCATTGCTTCTGTTAGAACTAATGCCCAATGAATATCAGGTTAATATTTGTTGTTGAGTGGTTCATGTTGTTCTGCCTTCCTGCTCAAGCCACGCAGCATGCAGCATTCAGATATTATTCATGAAATGTAACATTCATGAAAACTGGAACAGCTAATCGGTGCAGTAGTACCAAAGAGACAGAAAACCGACCACGCCGTAAGAATTAAGCGCTAGCTGTTTGTTCAGTAGTGATTATCACTTCCTTCACTGAGAAGAGATACCGGGGAAAAAACATGTGAATGTGCAAAAGCATGAACTAGCGACTAAGCCATGGAATGCTGTATGCATAACTGGGACATTACGAAAACCTCATTATTTACGTATTCGTGAAATATCTAGGCGCTGAAATAGCTGCTGGGCGCGCTCTCATGGAAATGAAGCATATAGTAATGGAATATTGATTAAGTTGTATGTGAACATCACATGTTCGATGGGTATAGAATGAATACCTACAGGTTTCGTTTAGATAGTATGATACTTACATACTATAAGCAAAAAAACTCGGCACAGAACATCAAGAGGGCATCAAAATAGTGTTTAGATGAGCTTTAACTATTGTACAAGCCCATAAAAGTGTTGCACCGCCTGAATACGACGTTAATACTTTATGCTAAACAAGACCCATTCAATATTGGAGTTTCAATGAGCGACATACCTGCGAACATGCAGCCATCACTACTCAAATACCAAACGAGTATTCCGCCAAACAGAGGTTTAGTGCTCAATAAGTACGATTGGAGTAGTAATTATGACGTATTTGAACAAGTGCTATGTGCAAATGATACGCGACATCATATTACGAAAACACCAGGGTTAAGTATATGTTACATATGACTGCCTATTGACTAAATGTGCAGATAAGCTATTTCAGCATTTTAGTGCTCGAGTACAATTGAACCAGGACAATATCTTAGTACCAGGAAAAACGCAGTGTTATGTAAACAAAAAATATTGCTTCAGGTTCATGTGAACACGAAATGTTAAACGAATGCCAATCTGAAGCTTTCTTTTTGCTTGGTAAAGCAAGAGCTGGTCGTAGTCGAAAATTTCACTGAACATCCGTTAGCTAGTCATATGGGAGAGCCCAAGTGCAGAGAGGTGCAGAGCGTGCCAAGGTTCTGTTGGTATGGGGTCCCAAAACATTGAGCACTCTCATGGTTCTGGACTTCTTTGAGTGCGAAAGTGTGGAGAGAAAGTGTGGAGAGGTCCCGGTGTTTTGGGGATGTGGGGGCCCAAAGCATTGGGACGTCTCATGGTTTTGAGCGACCTGGAACGCGAAAATGCTGAGAGGTCCCAATGTTTTGAAGGTTTAGGAGCACAAAACCAGGGAAGGTCTGAATACAACCAATAAAACCTTGGCTTTCTTGGTCTTATTGGGACCTTACATGGATGTTTGGGCTCCCAAAACGTCAAAACATTGGGACCTCTCATGGTTTTGAGCATCCTGGCGTGCGAAAGTGCTGAGAGCTTCCAATGTTTTGGACGCATAGGAGCCACGCGGCTTTGAGACTGTGTGGGAGAGCGCGATCTCGCGGCTGGGAACTCTGCGTGTGTGTGTGTGTGTGTGTGTGTGTGAGAGAGCACGATCTCGCGGCTTTGGGACTGTGTGGGAGAGACCTGAACAGGAAACACAGGAAAGGGGTAGGTACGTGGGGGGGTGGCACCATATATATATATATATACATCATATATCATACATAATATGTCCTATATCCTATGTCATATATCATATATCATATAGGATATATCGTAGATGATATATGGTGTATGATACATGATGTATGATATATGACATATAGTATGTGAATATATATATATATATGTGTGTGTGTATGTATGTATGTATGTATGTATGTATGTATGTATGCATACGTGTATATATACGTGTATATATATATATACACACACTAAAATGTAGGAGTCACAAGGTCCATGAACTCAGGGCCAGGCATCTCAAACAAGCCTTCCAACTCGCTCACGAAGAGCAAGCCATCGTGGTTGAAATCAAGTGTGTCGAACAATCCTCGGTTTAGGCTTGTGGGGTTTCGGGTCTTGGCCCTTCGGGTTTAGGGTTTAGGGTGTAGGGTTTGGGGTTTCGGGTTAGGGATCAGGGTGCCTTGCCACGACAGTGGCAACGAGCACGAAACGCAAGAAGCTTTCCTCTCAAGTGCTTGCTAGCTAGCTTGCCTAGATCGTCCCAGTTAAGCCTGACCACCCCTGTAGGAGACGCGCTAATCCACTTCCACCGACGTCTCCGTAACGGGACTACACGTCAATGCGTTCTTGGTGCCTCAAAAGCAGCCCAAGTTCAGAAGAACGCTCGATAAAGTGCCACGGCTAAGAAACACCCGATAGGTGGCATCCCTCACATAACGGCCTCAATGCTCTTAGAGTTCGGGGATTCGAATTCGGGTCTTTAAGGCACAGTATAGGGAAGGGTATATCAACCTTCGATTCTATGGAGACTATAACGAGACATCAATTCTGACAAGGTGGAGACTAAGAAGGAGAGATTAATACTAATTATCAGGCCAGGGCTCGTCGGGCTTGTTCCCTGATCTCCTGCTTGAGGAGCATCACTGCGCGCAAGTGGGCTCCTCGTTGGCCCATGTCGTCCTTTGGCTTGGGCTTTAGGGCTCAGGGCTTGGGATTAGGGCATTAGGGCCGGGGAGTGCTCAGGCTAAGATCCAGTTTGCTTGGCCTGGGGTGCCAGCGGTGCAGAACAAGGAGCAAGGGCTCACGGATTAGGTAAAGCAATACGGCGGGCCTAAAATACGAGGCAAGACCATTCCTTACGGCAGAATTGCCTGTTCTTATGATTTACCTAAACCCTTAACCCTAAACGCTAAACCCAAAACCCTGTTACAGATACAACCCATGAGGCCCCTATATGAAAGGCTGTGCAAGACGGACGGGACCACGGCTCCGACCGAAACCCCCTTGACTCAGTAATGTATATAGGGGCCTCAAATGATCAGAATAGGGTTTTGGGGGGGTATATTATACTTTAATCAAACAGAATAAGGAACCCCAAACTAGTATAATAGGTAATTCTTGAGGCCCCTATATTAATGGAAAGAGGTCGTAACCTTGTACCAGGACCTCCAGGTGGGATGCGGGTCCAAGTTTGTTTCTGCGACAGGGTTTTGGGGTTGAGATTTGAGGGTTTGGGGCGTAGGCTTTTTCTGTTCAAAGTAACTAAACCCTAAACCCTAGACCCTAAACCCCTAAACTAAACCCTAAACCCAACAGTCCTGCAAAGCTCACAGGATAGGGGTTCGGGTCCATTTGAAACAGAGGGTCTCCCTCGACGATCATCAGCGGCACACGGTTCAGCACAGGAGTGAGCCGACCTGTCATCAAGGGCTCTAATTTGAGGGTTTAGGGTTTAGGGCTTATAAAGAGGTTTAGGGTTCTGGGTTTAGGGTTTCGGGTTTAGGGTTTAGGGTTTAGGGTTTAGGGCTCTGCGTAACTGCTTCTAAGTCTGCTGCGATGTGCCAGGGTCAGCCGTAACGACTGCAGTCTTGACAACAGAAAAACTGAGAACATCCATACCACCGAAGAATCTGAATGCCAGGGTCCACAAGAAGTCAGCACGATTCTGCTGATGGCAGCCATGATGATGACGAGGGTGTTGACCACTTCGGCAAGGGAGAGGAGGCTTAGCAGGACTGCGACGATTGGTTGGAAACCACCTGCGTATGCCCAACCTCAGCAAAATGGCACAGACCCGCTACGCGTGAAAAGAGTACACCAGCCTCCGAAGGAAACGCTCGCACAGAGAGACGCCAGGAGCCCGATTAGTATGCGTATATGACTGTGTATATAGATGTATATACACAAACTATGACGCTGTCTATTCGTTCAACCTATTTGTGCATCTGCTTATCAATGTTGGGGCTTATTGTATTGTGATGTCTTGTGTCTGTGTCTGATCTATTTAGCGATTTGTTGTGCAAAACTGATGTATCCATTGTGTACCGATTTACACACTATCAAATCTAGTTGCCGCGTGAGTGTCACCTGTTGGTCTCCACTACCACATCAGTCTTTCTGCTGTCCGGACGGTCACGCTTGCTACTGCTAGGATTCTTCCATGACACACTAGTGACGCAGGTTCTTATGACAGGTCCCCCACATACTCAAACCCAACAAGGCACTCACAAGTCTTCAAAGGGAGCCATCAAACACCCTAATGTCAACTTAAGCCCTGCCTCACAAATTCTGACTTTTGGCAAACACCTTTTCTGTGGAGCGACCCGAGGCACTCAAATTTACATCCTGTGCTCTCAGCCCTAAATCAATCAAGGCGGACTGGCCTTTGTCGTAGTAGGCTTTCATGAAAGAGCCCTCTTTCAATAGCCAATCCCGCATCTTTTTCGTCACACCGCCGGTGATGTAGATGCCTGGCTTCGGGTCTATTGCTGGGGCTTCCGGGAGCTTATCATGGCCTTCTTTTCTGCTTTCAGATTTCGTTTGGGATTCAATCTTTCATGGTCTGGATTTTGGCGTCGAGTGCTGCTGAGACTCGGAGTAGGATCTGTGACCCCGATCTTTGTTCATGGGATTCGGCTTTAGGGGGTAGGCTTTGGGGTTTGGCAATTGGAGTTGCATTGGCAGCTTTTTGAACAGACTTCGGGGGGTGTGAATTTGCTTGGTTTGGGAAACCGTAAACCCTAAACCCTAAACCCTAAACCGCTTCTCGGCTCCGGGGATCTACGCAACCCCCGGATTCCTTACTTCAGACCCACTCTGGGAAGTACTCACATTGGTGTTCTCTAAGTCCCCAATAGAGTGCGGCACCCTCATAGAAGGGACCCCAAAAGGGACCCTAATTTAGAGAATAACCCCACATATACTTGATGTCAATGTGAAGTCTACAAGAGGCGCACAGTGTGCGGCAGCTTGTGGTTTAGGCGTTTACCGGTTTTGCGGGCTGGCCCTTCGGGTTTTGGGTTTAGGGCTTAGGGCTTAGGGCATAGGGTTTTGAGTTCAGCAGCCGGGCATAAGATATTGCAGGAGTCGGGCTCCGGGATGAGCGGTCTCAGTGGATCTAAGGTTCCCCTATAGTCTATCTTTGGCAGCATGCTTCTGTGCTATTTCCCATGGGACTTGTAAACAGAGGCTCCATATTCTAGTGTGGGGCTGGCAAACTGCTTGCATGGACCGGGCCATGCCGAGAAACTGTGTTTCTCAAACGGCTCAGGCTTGCACCATATCCCGGAAGTCCCAAGCAAACTAAACCCCACGAAAGCCACGTGGGACCTTTTCGATAGGAATGTCCTCGATAAGGATTCCACTAACTTACTACAAGGGTCTGAATACCGTACTACTACTGTACTTCTACTGTACAACTACAGCACTAGTAGAATACTGCACTGCGACTGTACTACATACTCAAGGCCTGAATGGCAGCAGCATTACCCACAACGCATCTGGACAGTTCCTAGCTTGCGATCTAACGCTCACAGCTCTACAGCCGGTGGCCCCGCAGGAGCACACTGCTCAGGGCGCCGGGAAACATCATGGCGCCACATGGCCCCAAAATGAGATCTTAAAAACCCTAAACCCTAAACCTTAAACCCTAAACCCTAAACCCCTAAACCCCTGCGTCTCATTTAAGGATCCGGGCCCAGAGCCCCTGAGCCTAAGCCCATAAAAGGCCCCGGCTCCCGACCTCCGAAGGGCTGCACATAGAGGGCAAAGGTCGCGCATTGAGCACCGTAGGCCTTAGAATGGACTTTGGGTTTAAGGTTTGGGGCTGTAGGTTCAGGGCTTCTGGTGTTGGGTTTGAGGTTTTTGGGGTTTAGGGCTTGGGGCTTTGGAATTAAGGCTCAACAAGTTGGCGGAATCCTTGTCGGTTTTGGCACCAGGCAACTCAACCAGTGTCAACGGATCAAGCCACAAAGGATTCTGCTGCCATTGGGTGAGCCTCCAAGACCCCTAAGCATAAAGAGCAACTGCTTTGGTGCGGTTCTGACGGGGCTTCACAAGTCTTCGGAGATCTTGCGTAAGCTCTTCAAAGTTGTTGACATAACGCCTCAACACGAAGGTCGCAAGCTTGAAGCAGATCCATTTCAATTCCCGTACCCCTGAGCTGAGACCCGGGACATCAGCAAAGATCTTCATCGTCTTCTCACAGAGCGACCCGGGCTTCCTACAGATGCAAAGGGCCGATGCTTTTTAGGGTTTAGGGTTTAGGGGATCATTGGCACCACCACGGCTAGTCTGAGGCAGCCAAGACTCGCATTCATGGCGATGATTCCGGCGTCCTGCAGCCCCGAGCATCCAGAACCGAGCTGTCAAACCGTCGCTGTTCAAACCTCAAGTCACCAACTTCGAGAAACCCATGGGGGTCTAGGGTTTGGACAAGTTGAGGCGGGTTTGCGAGTTAGAGAGTTTGGGGTCCGGGGTTTTTGAGTATAGGGAGCTCAGGGTTGAGCGAGATGACCCCGACTTATCTGCTTGACGTTGTGGCCTTCACGTCTGTAGCTACCGTACTTCAGAAGGGAGTTTATCTTTTGAACCCACCCCCGAAAGCCCTGAAGCACTGGCTCCTTCGGGCGCTCGTTGTGCGCTTCGTGCACCTCATCACTCGGAGCTTTGATGTCTGCGGCAGACTACACAAGAGACGAGCTGATCATGGAGGGTGTGGGCCAGTTTAAGGCAGTAGGGTTTGGCCCAGGAACGAACCTATTGTAAGGTCTCCTTGGGGGGATGCTCAGATTCTCAAGCTCGTGGGGTAGACAACAGCCAAAAGCAAAACGCAGACAACCAGCAGAATCGGAACGACAACAGCAGTAGCGGCAGCAGCCGCAGCGCCGCAGCAGCAGCGGTGGCAGTAGTTGGTGGGAGTCGTACTTGCAGTTGTGGCGGAGGTGGTGCCGGTGGTGCCGGTGGTGGCAGCAGTTCTGCGTGTTTACCCTTCAATTGAAGAGCCCTTGCCCTTCTTGAGCTTTCTTGGGGCTTCCGTTAGAACTATACCTTCCAGGAACTCCTGGGTACTAAGAGAACTTGGATCATGCGAAGCACGGCAACACTGCTCGCTCTTTCTCACGAAATCGAAGCGAAGGCTTGGAGAAACCCTCAACGCATTAACTTAATCCTAAAGGCACCCATTTACGTACATACCCTGGTGCAACCTGACCGGCTCTATACTCTATACAAAGCACTCAAAGAGCAACCGCTCAAGGAGATAAAAAGGGGTAGGCCTCCTCATCCACGTCGTGCGGGTGCTTGTAGGCGAGAAACTCGTAGATGTTGCAGATGCCGGTGCCTATCTTCACACGAGCTTCCCCAAGACGCCCCACTACCGAAACGGCAATGCAGCCCCCACAGCTCCCGACTCCGAAAAAGTCCCGAGTGTGTCTTGACCAACTTGAAAGGCTTCACCGACTCAGAGAGTGCACAACGGCTTCGAAAGGCTTTATACAGAAGCTCTAAAGGGCACTGCAAGCAGGGCTACTATGAGCCCTAAACCCTTGACCGGGTCCTTAAATCGCCAGCTTCGGAAAGTCGTTCCCGCAAACTTCGCCAACCGCACAGCGAAGTCCCACTCCAAAGACCAAAAACGAGCCCAAACGACGAAGTACATGCCCGAAAGATCCCCAACACAAGGACCCCAGGAGGGGAGATTCCTACAACTGTCTGCTTGATTGGCCCCTCTGCGCCTGAGACGACTCTCTCGGTGGAGATGCGGTTGCCCGCGTTGGAGAATTTGATCTTCAGGTACTTCAGCAACTGAATGAGGGCTCCGGTTTGGGCTTCAGGGACAGGACATCCCACGATGCTCTGGGTTGAAGTAGATGCATTGAGGCTTTTTCAGGTTAAAAGGAAACATATCATCATGATTATCATCAGCATCGTCATCCTGACCAGGTTTCTCTGTGCTACAGTTGCTACAGTGTTACTACAGCTTCTATTGCGTCGGATCTGGGGGGGTCAGAGGCTGCATCCTTTGGGCTTCGACTTTGTTGGGATTTTTGGGCTTCGGGTTGAGAGTGTAGGGCGCAGGGCGTTAGGGCACGAAGGCTTGTTTAGGCTGGCGTGGCGTGAGATTTGGGGCACCGGGCGTCGGCTTGTGGGCTTTGGCTTCAGGGTTTCGCTTCTCCAGTTTCGCAGCTTTTGGGGTTTGAAGAGATAAAGCCGGGGGTCGAGGGCCTCTCTTTCACAAGAGACCAGTGCTGAATCCCGCTTGCCAGGTCTGCACAAAGCTGCCGACTGGGCTCAGGCACCAGATCTTGAAGAGGCCATCCTTTGGAAAGTCTGAAGACTGAAAAGACGATGAATACGAGTATCAAACCCCAAACCCCTAAACCCTTAACCCCTAAACCCTAAACCCCTAAACCCTAAACCCTAAACCGATTTGCTGGGACCCACGACTCTTGCGGTTCTTAGGTTCCGAGAGTCTCCCCCCTGGGAGGGACCTCCAGCTTCAGCTCGTCGCTACCGGCCCCGCGGGGACCAAACTCCCCGTGCTGTCCTCTGAGAGTGACGGGTTCCCTGTTGGATCTATATTGGATAACCTGTTTTTTTACCCGATCAATATGAAGCATGATCATTTTTAATCCTTATCGGTTTTGATTATAACAAAATTGTAAACTTGTACCCAACAAGGACCCCGGTGAAGGGACTGTAGGGCTGTGAGGGCTCTCAGGACTGACAGGGCTTGTAGGGTTTAGGTCTTGTAAGGCTGTTAGGGCGTACGGGATACAGGGCTTAAAGGGTTTAGGGAATATTCATATTCTGCTTCTGGAGCTTCTTATGCGGCTTATCGCTTCCATGGCTTTTGTAGGGTTTTGGGGCTTATGGGGTTTACGGGGTTTTGGGTTTCGGCTTGAGGATTCATTAAAGATTCAGGGTCTTTAGTTACGATGCTGGTGATGGTCGTGATGGAAATGGTCCTCTCGTCGTTGTGTCGGTGATTCTGATTGTTCAATTCGTGGCTAGGAAAGTGCTGTGGGGGGGGGGGGTGGATCGCAGACAAGGACCACGATGCTGAAGAGAACGAAGGAAAGAGCCGATGACAGACAACAACATCGCCGCTAACAGTGCTGATGATATCTGGTGACTCGACAAACATGAGGAACACCCTATCCAAGGGTCCTTCACTGGGGTGGCAGGTGTATTCACCTGTCTGAGTGTCGGCCACCAGGAAGCATTGTCCCAGGCCTGCAGGACGTTAATGTCCAAACACGGGTCTTCGACTCAAAATGCACTCTGTGGAGCTTTCGGGCTTCAATATCATGCTAATGGGGTTCTTGTGGGTGTATCGCGCGATATGTTGGTTGAGGATATCCTGGCAAAGCTGCAGAGTTCAGAGATTAGCTTGAAGCTCAAGGGTGCAGCACAATGCAGGGCCTCAAGCAGTACATAGCATTTCACAACAAAACTCGTTGTTGAGACATTTTTGCCACGATCTAAGAGTAGACCACCAGTCGGTGAGGGCTCTGTCGTGTGGGCTGCGTTTCGGACACAAGGTACGGGTCCCGCTGGAGAGGGTGAGCTCTTGTTACATATGGTACCGAAAAATTTCATGACCGTTTCTCACATTTGCCCGCCTGTGCCAGCGCCGATGCAGGCAATGGTCCCATTTTGGACTGGTTCAGCATCATTCAACTTCATGACCTGCCAGCAATAAATAATCATGTTTGCAGCTTTGGGCATTGGAGCAAGGAAGACACGCGTGTTAACACTGGAAGCACCGGGAGCGACAGCAGTGGCAGCAGTAGCAGTAACAGAATGACCCATCACCATCGACTCTCGCAAAAACAAGTCAGAGTCATGGTAGTTTCTAACGATGTTTATCACTGAGGCTCTACAGAAGCCGCTGCTCGATCCAAACTGCTAGGTGCCTTATCTCTACTAAGTTGCGTTGTGCTATCAGATTCAAACAGATGGTGCTTCCACAATCCATTGCCCTCACCCGGAAACTGATGCAAAACCACACAAGGGGCTCACACTCACGAGAAAGAGTTCCGAACAAGGGGAGTGCTAGCTTCAAGCGCATTCAGTCCTTCGTGCCGGTGGCTTGTCTGCGCATGTCAGTCAGCACACGGAGAAATCTGCTTCAGAGAGCAACTCCTTAAGCATCCTGCCGTCGAGAAACCTAGTACTCTGCCGGAAGCACTTGTGAAGCTAGGATGTCAAACGACAACAAGAGGCAGAAGGACGGAAGGCTACCTACCCTCTGCTGCAGGTGCTAGCAACGAAGCATGTAACGAAGTGCCATCAGCAGAAAAGGCTCTCTCTGGAACCGCGTGCAGCGCTGCCCGATGCATTTTCGGGCCGAAAGACCGAAGAAGACTCTGAGGTATAGGAATGGCAACAGCAATGATAATGCGGCCTGGACCCAAAACCCGAAACCCTCAGCCCGACACTCGGAAAGAACTCCCGACTGGGCAATGATTTCAGACCCGGAGCAGTAGGCGCTGTCTTTTGGACCCATAACTTCACCAAACCTCTATCAAGCCCTTGCTATAAGGTACTCAGGTACTCGAAACACCCTATCAAGCCCTCTGAGTTCCCAGTAAGCCTTACAAACCCTGTTTAAACCACGATTGTACAGCCACGAACTATCCCAGTGCCCGGAGCAACCTCGGTGTTGCCCAAAGTCAGCATGCCGTAGCCCTGGGCTACGAAGTCGTTGATGAGCTCAACCTGATCCGGTTAATATTGGGGCCTTAGTGATTCGAACAGGGTTTTGAGGCAGGAACCCTTAGGAGTAGTAGTACTAGTAGTAGTAGTAGTAGTAGTAGTAGTTGTTGTTGTAGTAGGAG